TCTACATCTCACTTTATTCAACTCCCTTTCGCTTGTTCTTACTTTAACCCGCTTCCTTTGTTTTATTAATGATGTTTGCATATGTAAAGTTCTGTCTCTCTGATAGCAATAGAATTTTCGTGCGTGTGTATTTAAATATTAATGTTACATATTAACATATATTATAATATATAAATAGCAATATATATATTAAGGGAATTCCGACCACGTTTACTTTTTAAACAGAGCCTTTGGATTTCTTTAAGTTCAATTATGGTTTTGCTGTATTCCTTATACTTTACACGTGATGGATTTTTGATGCAAATAATAATATATAGTCCTCTATTATTAATATGGAATATTCAGTTTTGATAACCTTTTTAGAGGAAATAATATTCATTTATTCAGCTTAATAATTATAAATTGTAATTAACCATTTTATACAAATGAAATTTAAACCCAACTGAATTCATTTACTCACTCAGCCATCTCAGCTGTAATATTAATTATTCTCCGAATCGAGTAAATAGAATATCAGACTGTGAACTTCCAATCTCCCTGCAATTGTCGGAATTAATTTAATTGGAAAACCTTTTTTAAGCATATTTAAAGTTAATTTTATTACGCATACGCCTCATTGGCTAAGTGTTTTATTGGCTTAAGCTGCCACCGCTGACGCACATAAAAAATATTTAATTAATTCGCGGAAAAGTTAAATCAACCGCGAAGCACGCATTTAAATGCAACCGCAGCCCAAATGCAACCTGGTTGTGTGTTGCATAAATATGTGCGTAGGTTGCAAGCAGGTAATTACCGCAGAGGGCACTCCTGGAATTACTTAGCCCGTTTCCATTTTGAAATTGTCGTCGCCCCAGAAAAAGGAACTTCATTAACTTTATGTCATGTCAGGGGGATGACGTACAGCCAAATGGCTTGTCGTGTTGTGGCCCCATCGCAGTTTCCTGCAGCATTTTCCGCAGTGTTTTTAGTGTCGGCTTGCATATGCGAAGAAATCTATTACTTTGCCGGAAATTAGTCGCACACATAACCCAGCCACAGACCGCCGTTCGAAATATATTGAACATGCTGCAATGGATTTTATGCAAAGTGCGCACGCCACGCGTCATATTTCAAGTGGGAGCATCGAGTTTTTGGCATAAATTTGCGTGGGAAATGTAACCAGCAGCTGCTTCTACACGAGACTAAGATATTGAATTTATTGGGTCTTAGGGCAGCTTCTGCTTCTGGCACCAACACAGCTAACAAATTGGTGTCGATTAAAAGGTCGGCTCCTGCCAGCGGCAGCAATATGGCCGAAAATACTTGAACACACACTTTTTGGCAGGAGGACAATGACAAATACGCGGTAATTAACAAAGTTTGTGTGCACACTTATTAAAAGAAATGACAATGACACGATGCCCGTATGCGGGCATATATCCAGGTGTTGCTGCTGTGCTTTTGCTGCAAATGTTATTTATCAATTAGGACTTTGACTTGGCAACACCCTTATTTTAATTGGCTCCGTACACACGGGCACATCAAATGTCGCACACACAGTGCCAGAGCCAGCTGTTGATTTTAGTGCAGCATTGTCAAGACCGAGTCCAACTTTCTCTCTGTGCGGCTTAACTGCCCGTAAAGGGCTCAAAGTGTTGCTGATGCTGTTAACATGCGGCATTAGACGAGCATCAAGTGCAGCCCAAGTCAGGAGTGGGTGCGCCCTCTCCGGCTGACGATTGAGTGAGTGACCAGCTTGACTGCAATAGCAAAGAACGTGGGTGCAGGCTGGCCGGACACAATGAATGTTCGTCATTTGCAGTGCGGCGCGCTCAAGCTTGCATTGCACTGGGCATTTTCCCTTAGCCGCATTGTTGACTTTCCACCCACTTTTCCTACACAGTCTCAGTGGCCCCCCAGCGGCAGGTTTGACTTGCCTTTAACACAGCTAAATTGCAACTGAAAAATGTACATTTCATGTCTTTACTGACACTGACTCTCTACAGAAGCTCGCTGCAGGCCAATTGGCTGTTGTCAATGAGCATATTGTTATTTTAGTAGCTGCCAACAACAGAAAAGAGAATGTCGCACCTAAGCAAACATTGCAAATGGTATTATTGATAGTTTAATAGTCAAAGGTGCAACTCATTTGCAATGCGTAGCTTGAAGTCCTTCCGACCAATGCACAAATTGATGACATTTTATTAGGTCTTACATTAGAATTGATTCATGCGAATCAAGGTTTTGTCCTGACTTATCGGTGTTTCATGCACAGCCTTACGACTTAACTCTAGATTTAGACCTCCAAGTGGCTTAAAATGGTGGTCAACGTTTGTATTAAATAACACAACTCAGCCAGAAAAAAAACCCTTTAAAAATATTTATAAACGTCGGACTAATAAGGGAGCAGTCGCTGATTCAACTTCAGGAGCAATTGCCAATTTTTATATTTGCTATTTAATTTCCTTTTATTAACGAAGTAAGGGCTCAAATAATAAATTAGAAAACAAAGAAATGGAAACTTAAATGCTGTTGTCATATGTTTTCAATGAATCAATCCTTTACGTTTACGTTGACAAACTTTTTTTTATTATTATTTATTATTTTATTATTATTATTTATTTATTATTATAAGCAACGAGAACAGTAATCAGTTTCTTAGCGAGCATTTACTGGCTGAGTTTGTTAATTGGGCCGCAACAGACACAATGGGGACGCTGAAGATAAGATCTCTTTAAAATTTAATTTGATAGCCTATTCAATTGGATGTAATGTGAACCGGGCTGAGTAACTTCGTCGCACTAACAATATTTTAAACTATGTTCTTAGATTTGGAGAGCATTGCAGAATAATTCATATTTGTTTTTTATATTATTCGACAGACGAGTTTTTTAATCGGTTATTAATTTTTATATATTTTAAAACTGTATTAGGAAACTTGATGTAAGCATCTACACTGGATTATATATCATTTTCTATAATAAGTATAGAATATAGTTATAAATCATCAACCCAACTTCTTATATAACGCTTCGGATAATAAGTACACACAAAGAGCTGATGGGGAATAAATCAAAATACGACTTGTATGAAAAATATTCAATTTAAAGAAAAGAAAATGAATAAATGTATTTGTATAGTATTACTGGGACAGATTTTAGCTAAATTACAAATTATGCACAGGAAATCTTAGAAAAATATTTTTATTAGCAGTTTCAATGTATTATATTTTAATGTTGACCGCTTCAATCTGAGTTGTTAAAAAAGCCTTTTAATTATAAGGTTGACTTGTTATTACCAATTTGAAATATTTACTACATATACATTACCAATAGATAAAAATTACTGTATAATATGAATAATAGAATATATTTTTAATTAAAGAGTACCGTAAAAAAAAGACGTCGCTGCAAATTAATGTTTCATGTTCTTCACAGTTACTAAAAATTCTAGTAATAGTTTGCTGTTTAACAAAAAACATTTTTACTTAATTTTCAGCAAGAATATTATATAAACTATAAATCAAAACCATTAATATAAATCTAATCGATAAATAATTGCTATTTCGATGTAGTTGCCATTATAAAAACTCTTTAAATAGCTTTATTTTTCATAAATTGTGATTGTTCTCTGGCAAAAACCTGACGTGCAATGAAACATAAAATTGATTTAGCAACAAATGATATACGAGTCAAGGTCCTCTAATCTCGCACACGACCAAACTTATTCATATAATTTGAGACTAATGAAAGCAATCTGCCCAATACATGAGCCAAGATGAATCAACTAACAATGAGCCAAGGAAAAGCCGAAAGGTTTCAAAAACTTTGCTCATAAAATTCGACATGGCCGAGGCCTATCAATCGTCCCGCAGCAAATCCCCCTGACAGACCGAAATTAATTCAACTGATTGAAAGACAAGAGCTGAATTTGAAGTCAAAGGTAACCCCAACTTGTTGATCGAAATCGAATTACAAGCGCGTTACCTTTCCCCCACCAGCAACTTACCTGAACGCCCAGCACAATCATGGACACATAGACATAAACCACGAGCTTCATTCCGTCGGCGTTTGCGTCTGTCGCAGACTTTTAATTAAGCGACGGTGTAAAAGAATTTGATTCGCGCGGGCGCCAAAATCTTAAGTCCCAGGATGCGAACGATGTGCGCTTTGATTTTTAATTTTAAGCTGTTTTAAAGTATTTGCGGCGAATGGAATGGTAACGCGCAGCAATAATTTTATTTGAGCGCAAAATTGACGACAATGGGACGAAGGACGGTCACGTAATTCGCACTTGGACCGAGATTGAAACTGTGAAACGCGTTTTGAATGGCACAGAAACCGTTACACGCGACACTAAGGATAAAAAGGATATAAAGCGTAGAGCTCTGGAAACGGACTGCAACGCGCGACTTCCGTTAGCTGACCAAACGAGACGTCAAAGCTGCCGCAACCGACGACAGAATGTTGCTCCTTATCAGCGGCGCATTTCCTTTTATAGTCCTGGCTCGTGCTGCCACCGCATGCTCACACCGCCCCAGACGCCCTCCCGCCCTCCCCCCTCCCCTCTCGTTTCGGCTCGCACCCATTGCGTGGCATGCAGTGCGCAACATTTGAAAGTTCACTTCTCACCTCGAACTTTTGATAAGAAAACTTATCCTTTAAGCATTCTGTGTGCTAGAAAGTTTTCGACAGCTTAAAAACTTTGTTCATTTCGGAATTATTTTTTTTTTTTAATTTTCTTTGTGCATTTTGCCATTAATAATTTTAAAAGTTGACCGTTAATTGGAAAACTCAACACACTGAAAGCTTTTGGGGTAAAGCTCTATCAAGCTTGCAACCAGACTTGCCAACTTTCCGGAAAACTGTTGCAGCGCCATTTTCAACTATGAAAAGCTGAAAAGCTTTGAGACGAACATTACTTAAAAAGAAAACTACTTTTATTTGAACTATCTAAGAGCTACAATTATTGACTGGAGATTTCTTGCACTCTCTCTCTCTTTCTCTCTGTCTCTGTCTGCCTTTCTCTCTGCTACTTCAAGCTGACGTCCAGCGACGGCGCCAGGCCCATGGGTATGGGCACATTGCGCGGATGATTCAAGTCGCCGCGATCGTAATAGCCGCCCAGATGCTCGTTGGGCACATGATACAAGCCGTAATGGAGTCCTGTATTGGCCACCTGTGAAAGGAAATTTATATTAATTTAATTTAAATGCTCTTTTGGAATGTTAAAATTAGCCATAACTTACGCGCTTCAGTCCGTTGATGGAGGCCAGCAGCAAAGCCATTTTGGCCAATAACAACGCCTTGCCGCTGACAATGGACAGCATTTGGAAGCCCATGGGCACCAGCACGGCGCCCAGAGCTGTCACACCGAACATCATGGTGATAATCATGTTGAAACGATGCCGACGTAGTCGGGCGCTGCCCACCGCATCCGCTTTGCTCTGCGACGCATCTGTAGACGATTAAGCCCAAAAATATTCAAGGAATTAATATCCATGGCCATGGTAAAGCCACCTACCGTTGCTCAGATAGCGCTCCGTGAGCTTGGCCAGATTGATTTGCAGCGTGTGCGTGGTTAGACCCTTGGCCAGGCTAACAGCCAGCTGATCAAACCACGTCAAGTGCTTGAGATCCTTGCGCTCATCGGCAGCTGCTCGCGCTTGGCCATTTGTGGCATTTGGTGCGGCCATCAGACGCACGCCCTCATAGAGCGGTATGACATCCGCCGTCATGATGTCCTCGAAGATTTGCAGGCTGCGCGCGCGGAAACATGCCCACAGACCCGTGCCCGACCGATAGCAATCGCCAAGCTGTTGGCGCAGCTGCAACAGCTGGGCTATCCACGAAACGCGCGTATCCGTTTGAGTTTGCGTTAGATTGACCGTTGCCGCATCGGCTGCCACATGTTGCAGCAGGAGGCACATTGCCAAGAGGCAAACGCTTTTCACAAATTTCACTTGCATATTGTGCAGCTCTGGAAGTGTTCGCGTCAAGGCTCGGAATGAAACTGCGGCTGCTTGGACGCTCGACTGCAGCTTTTTATGTGCCACCAGAGCTGGTCACTGAATGGAAACGCATTTGGCTCGTGCAACCAGTCATTAGAAAGAGACTCAAACGCATTGCGTACAGAATTAAATGGCTAACGGTCAGACATCGTTTCCAATTGGCTTTTTGACGGTCATGGTCAGCGGTCAGCGCCAGTCCAGTGGGTGGGACTCCAAGCCCAGTAAACCACATTGTCACAAAACTGTTGAATCCGAAACTGAATTTATTGTCGTGAATGACCTGAAAAGCACCTGCTTAGACATCAAATTACCTTGTCAACGCTTGTGGTCAAATGCCACCGTATTCTAATCGCATACGGCCCGTATGCCGCATGCCTGTTAACAGTTGCAGTTAGCCATGGATAAAGCGCTTCATTGGGCTGACCGAAGGGCAGTCGCGGTACTTTCCAGTACGTCGCGGCGGTAAAAGTTATGATAAAAGGTTAAATTATTTTCATATATTTACTTTCTAGTTATTGGATGGATTTGTGTATCTACAAATTAGCCAAAGTGGTTTTGCCTTCATCTTGGGGGTTATTAGCTTAGGTTAACTAGGCTAAAACGGGCTTCTCAGAGAGGGTTAGAGATCAACCGGAGAGGATTGAGGAGCGGGAGTATGAGGGGAATTCTATAGTCTGCAAAAGAAATGCTGGTTCACTTAAAAGGAAACAAGCCTTAGGTATTTAAGAGTGAGATTCAGCTAAAAAAAAAGATTTAAATATTTTTCTTATTCACACAGCTGCGACAAAAGTCAGGCTGAAACATCTTGAAAATGCTGAAATTATTGCAGAATTTCCACCTGCATTTTGTACTTAATTAAGTGTGGGGATCCAATGTGCTAGCTAAAAGATAAAAGATTCTTTTCCGCCCGAGACCACTTGAGAGTTATACAATGAGTTAGTTCGATTCTGATAAGATTTGACTAATGGGAGCCTAATCTCATCAGCGTAATTGCTGAGATATTTAGAAGTCTTAGAAGAATTTGTGGTCGGATCCAGCTAAATGCGGCATGGATACTGCCTCCAGCAAACTGAAGAAACATATTAAGTTTCATCAAGATAGCTTTGAAGGTCCGATAGTCTAGTTAGCTGTAACAGACAGACGGATTAGATTTAGATTTGTATTATTTAATTATAACTTTTCAAAATAGAATTATTAAGCCCACCTCAAGAGCTTTAAAGGAATCGATCCTGCTCGTTTTTCAAGTACATATCCATTTCACAATGTCATTCCGTACATTCAATCTAGTTTAAGCATCAAAAGTTGTTTCAATTTTTGTACATATTTTAATTATATTCAGTTTTACATTTATTAGCTAAGAGGTAATTCATTGCATTTTTGCATTTTTGCTTTATAACTGTTGTTGAACAAATTCGTACTAAAATAAAAAGATTTTACGCTTAAATAGTTCATTGAGTGCAAAAAGTAGACGTTCAGTGATTTCCTTTGTTTTCGTTACGCTTTAAACTTTAAACTATGCATCTAGTTAAAAAAGTTTTACAAAAAACAGTTACAGTATCATTTTCTATATAAATATATGCTCGTTTCCTGTGTGCAGATAAAACAGTTGCTTTCAATTGTGTGCCATAAATGTCTGCTATAGTATCATATATATACATATACAGGTTAATTTCTATTAATATATATTTCCAAAGTTTGCTCTTTACAACATGTTGATGGTAAGAAAAGATTCCTCTAGAATAGACCAGATGCATTGAACTGTTTTCTTTTGTCCTCGACTGATTGTAGTTGTATAGGTATAAACGCATCCTAGCAAAAAATAGACATAAACTCTATGACTGATCTAAACCGACATTAACTTTCTGGCTATACATATACAGATTTATATATATATATATTTTTCTATGGCTACAACTGACCAACTAGCTTGTGCATGGCAGGCGATGCCGCCAATATAATCATGAGCCCGTCGCGGTACCCGCCGTGGCAGCGGCAGTGGCAGCGCCACGCCCGAAACGAGGCAGATAGAGTCCAAATTTGGACTCAATGCCCGTCAGCAGAGGCACAGCCGCATGGTAGCCGCCAATGTGATCGGGCTTGGGCTGCAGGCCGCTCAGTGTGCCGGTGAGTGGCAGACCGGGCTTGGTGCCTTGGGAGCCCTTCGGCTGATTGCCGCCAAAGTCCACGTAAAAGAGACGCTGCAGAAGCTCGTAGGTAACCAAGGTGACACCAAATTGCGGCGAGGAGCGGCAGACGCGAGCTAAACAAGAGATATTCGGAGATAAAATGGGAAACATGAACTGATTGTTCTGGCTACTCACCGGCTGTGCCCTTCCAGAAGGCACGTGGTCCCTCCTCGGCCATAATCTTCTTGGTGGCATCCCAAACGCCCGTGTATGTGGTCTGACCCGTGCGAGCAGCGACCTGCAGACGTGTCTTGATCACATCGGCGGGCGTCACCAGCGAGGCAGCGGGCACGCCGGCAATGGCGCCAGCGGCCAGCAGCGAAAGCGGATGATTATAGCCATCCTTGTCGGCCAGCGCCGCCTTGGTGTGCGCATAGGTCGGAAAGTAAATGGCCGAGAAGTTCACGTCGCGCAGCAGACACGCCCGTGCGCCTTTATACAGGCCAAGGAAGCCCAGCTCGCGAACAACGGACAAAGCACTTATCTTAGAGCCACCGGCGATTTCGCCAGCCACCTGTAGCCGAATCTTGACAATCTCCAGCGGATTGGTGAAGATTACCTGTGCACAACCACCACAGGCGCCGGCAACCACCTCGGCCCAGACGGGAATGTTGCCACGCTTGTCTGTCAAATTGTCGCGCACAAAGTCGTTGACCGTCAGCTTGATGGCCTTCTCAGGAGCGACGCCCATCAGCTGGGGCAGCAGGCCGCGATAGAGACCGAGGATGCCTTCGTGGCGAATGACCTGGCGCAGAAAAAAAAAACATTGATTGTGTTCAGGTCTACGTTTCACGTTTTATGGCTTACCTTCTTGAAACAGTCCCAGGAGTTTCTATATGCGATCTCACCAATCATGGAGCCAGTGCGTTGATTCTGCATGCGCGTCTTGACAAGATCAATGGGATAGACCACCGTAGCGCCAGTAGCTAAGGAAGAGAGTGCATAGTTGAGTTACCAGGGTAGAGGATTTGAGGAACTTTTGACTTACCGCCAGCAAAGGAGGCCAGGGTAAAGCGATAGGTGGCCTCCAGCATTTGAATTAACGCCGATCTGTCATTGGGACTGTCGACGGCCTTGATCTCGGCCAGGCGGTGAGTAATATGCTTCGTATAATGCTCGGGCGCAATGTTGCTAAGGTCGCTGTAGTCGATGCGGCTGTTGGGACAAACGATTTGGGCATGTGGTTAGTCGAAGGTTCGGGATGCGAAGTTACCCACACATATAATAACTAACTAAAACGAAAACACACCGAAGGGGTGATGCATGGCGATCGGGAATTTTGGTATCTTTTTTTGGTTTTTGTTTTATTTGATTGTAAGGATTGGGAATACCATGTCAAAATAACGTTTTTTTTTTAGGACAACAACACTTGCCTACTTGGAGAAATCGTTGTGCGTTTCCACCAGCTACAAATATTGTGATAAATACAATTAAGTCAACAATTTGGTAAGCAATATGGTTTGTTATGAGTGCGATAGAGAGCAGGGAAAGAGAAAGAGAGAGAGAGAGAGAAAATATACAAAATTCCAACAGTTAATACACACGGAGAGACAAACACAAGGATGTGACTTTGCTGTGACCTCAGATTGTTGCTGAGCAATGGAAATGTTTTCGCTGTTGTTGTTGTTGTTGAAGGAATCTATGAAGGATCTATGGCCTAGGGCACTTACCCCGGCTGATTTACAGCGCCGGTTAACTGGAACAATATGTCAATTTCCAGTGGCGTAATCTGGCTCATGGTCTGCGCCGCATAGAGCAGCTCATCCTTGGTGACCATCTCGGTGCGACTGCCCTTGGTGGCATGTAGATACACCTGCTTGATCAGTTCCATGTTGTTGAGCAGCGAGGTAAATGCTATGAAATACGGAAAGCTAACTCTGTGACCCTCAGTGACCTATGACATTGAATAGCATTAGTTACATGTCAATATATATATAGAGCAGTTACTATGCACTTACCGCCACCAAGTTATCCTTGACATCGGGCGTGAGTAAATGCCGCTTAACCTTAACGATAATATCCTGAAAATCTAGGGGGGATATAAATCCAGTGCCAGCTGGATCTTTGCTACGGAATGCTTCCATTGCGTGCTCCTCGTGAAAATCGTGCAGCAGTTGCGTAAATTCAGCATAGTTGATAAGTCGTTGCTTCTTCTACACAAAAGAATAGTAAATCGGTTGAATTTGTAATTGAATTATAGACAATGATCCATTCACTTACCTCACCAAAGTAGCGTTTGATAAATGTGCCATCTAAGCTAAAAGGTATCTTTGAGTGCAGTTCCGTCTTTTGTACGACATCAGCGAAATCAGCTGAGAGTAGAGATAAAACCAGTTAGATAATCTCGTAAAAAGCTCATCTACATTTTTAAATAATAACCATATGAGACAGAGCCATTGCCCTGGCGGTCAAACAGCTGAAAGGCAGTTCTGTAGAGAGCATCGGGGGCGCAGAGTAAGCCCTCGAATGCCTGAAACTCCGAGAATGATATGAGGCCATCTTTGCTCGTATCCGCAATGCCGGCGAGCAGGCGCACCGATTCCTGTAAAAACAAGGTTCAATGTTTAATCGAGCCCATTTGACCGTTGCCTAATTAGTGATTAGCTATAAAAAGACTTTATCACGATTGCGAATGTAAGGAAACGTACAATCCGCACACTTCGGCCTAGCCGCACCTGGAAATCAATTCTTCAGCAGCGACTAGCCAAACAATTGATAACGAGCCGCCAATTTAAATGCTGTGACGTCGACAGACAATTTAGCACGAGGTTGACAAGTGATTGCGAGTGCGGAACGAGTGCACTATGAATCAGTACCCTTTTGGGATAAATTATCACAATGCATGGCACACAGATTTTTCTGCTTCTTGCACAGGTAAACGTAATCGCATCAATGCTGATAGCAGCTGGACCCAGCTGTTGTTGTTGCTGTTGATTGCTTATCACACACAGCAACTGTGTATAACCTTGCAATGACCCAACGAACGATGCGCTGTTGTCTATGACACGGGTTTTGTTTGACACAATGTTGTTGTTTTTGCTACTTACATCATTGAACGCTGTCTCTGTGAACAGGCCGAGAAACTTGCGCACAAAATCCTCGCTGGTCATGTATTGCTCGCCATCCTTTTGCAGAGAGGCGTACTTCAGGAAGACTTCGCGCAATTTATCAGTGCCGGCGCGTTTCAGCAACGAGGGAGTCTGCAAAAAACCAAAGAGATAAAGAGATCAAAAACATAGCCACAGACACACTCACACACGCACACAACAAATACAACTCGCACGACTCGCAAGCTCTCTCTCTCTCTTTTCAAATGGCAAACAGAAGCAACACGTGTCATATATACACAAACACAATGTGCGTGTGTGTGTGTTTGTGAGTGTCTGCTCTCTGTAAAAGTCAACTCACAGTCGCGGCAATTGGCATTTTGTTGATATTTGTAATTATTTTTCAACACTAGTGTTTGTTCTTAATGCCCAACTGTATGCTGGCATTAATTAGCTCATCAACTTGTGACCGATCCAAACTGAACTGAATCGAGCCCGTTGCCCAACTGTGACTACCCAAATTGCCTCACTCGCATTCTATTGTATGGCAAAAAAAAGACTTGCTGAGAGTGCGCGCCATTTCTCTCTGCTTGGTTTCTTTTTATCTTTTGCTTAAAAGGGGAGCTAGGTTCGATCTGGCGCTCTTAACTTTGTCGCTCTTATTAATTCTGCTCTTTGGCATTTTCGCTCACTTGTTGACATCATAAATAAAGCAATTTTTATGGTTTGTTTGCAAACAATTTTCAAATTACGCGAAGAGTAAAAATTTGCAAGGGCAAAACCCATAAATATTAATACTTTTACATTTATTATTATTCGTTTTTTTTTTTATTTATGACACTGCTAACGGAGGTCAACGCTGTTCCAAGCAATTCCGTCAACAAGTCCGACAACGCTTTTAAGTCGGTTGGTTACATTTATCAATTAATCCATTGACGTAATACAATTATCATACGATTCTCTCATTCTCAGAGAGCAATGTTTACATGGTAAGACAACATTTGCATGTACATATATGCAGGTGATATAGCAGCGAAAAACAATAACAAAAACAAGTAATTGCTTTGAAGTCAACAGAAAACCCATTTAATTGAGTACTGTATCAATTTCAGGGCTTATCAGCTGATTTATTATTTGTGCAGGGGCGCAATTGATGTAATATGTGCTTCGGTTTTATTCTATGAAAATATATAAATCTGGACAAAAATAGTTTCGTACATATCAGACTGTTGGTATATGGCATTAGTAATACATTTTAGTTATTAGTCAGCTTATGCGCTACCTGAGAGAACATTAATTGCATAATTAATTATGGAACACACTGAGGTAATTTTGGGGCATTATAAAATAAATGGTATATCGAAAAGTTGGGTTCGAAATAGTATACAGACTCTAAAAGTCTTGCCCTTCTTTCTTTTGAAAGCAGACAAATATTATTGTGTCTAGAGATATGCCTTTTTCGTGTCTAGACAGTTCACCCGTATATTTTTTTTAATTCGGTTTTACGTTTATTAAAATAAATTTTGATAAGGATTCGATTATTTATGAAATTAAATAATAACCTTAACCTTGTTACTTTTCTTGTCTCATTTGTAAATGTTTGTTATGGAATAAATCTCCTAACTTCAATAATATCATAACATTAAAAAATAAATTATAAATATTGTAAACTGGATTTATATTTTAAACTTAAAAAAATTGAATTAACTTTATTTTCATCTTCCCTAGGCTAAGGTAACAGGTAACAGCACAAAGCCCCGGATAATGCACATGCTAAATGCATCAGCATCAACATAATCAAATGACAGAGCTTAGCGCTTGAATAATCAAAAGGAAATTCATTTCCAGCTGTTATGCCAAGCACAAAATACCCACACAATCACACACTGAACTTTAAGTACGATGAACGGACACACACACACACACACACACACACACACACTTAACACACACACACACTTGAGAGCAAGCTCTTGCATGCAGCGCCAAAAAGGCGGAAAATGTTGCACATACGCCGCGTGTGCCAGGGCAAGTATTTGCATGCCGCGTCTGCTTTTGGCTGTTTGTTGTTGCTTGTGTGTGTTTTATTGAGAACTATAATGAGGTCGTTTGTCTGCAGGCTTCCGCTTCTGTTTCTGCTTGCTGGTTGTGGCTGTTGCGCTGCCAATTTGGCGATCGAAGCGGGGCAGAGGCTGCACGAGGGACTCACCTCCAGCAGGCGGCACGTGTTACTGTCTCACGTTTCGTATATCTATTTGTGTATGTATTCGCGTCTCTATGCAAATTGTGTGCACCTGACAACCGAAAAACTTTGCAAAAGTTTTTCAATTCCTGTCAAGGTCAATCCGACTGTTCATTAACGCCACCTGCCACAGCGCAGACTAGCGGCAAACTCGAGCTGCCACATGCAGCAGTAGTTGGGGTAGCATAACGGTAACAAATAGTTTGCTAGGCTTGTGCAAATCAAATACACTAAATCAACTTGAGTAAAGGGCATAATAAAGTCAAAGTTCATGTTAGGGTTTATGCTAAAGCTTATGTTTACTTTAACTAATCTACTACTAAACTAACATAATCATGTTAACTTTCACTCAACTAAAATGATTTTCTTTAATCGAAGTCAGGGTTCATGTTAAGGTTCATGTTAAGGTTCATGTTGACACTCATGTTAAGGCATATGTTAAGCTTCATGTTAACAGTAAATTCTTTATTAATTGCTTTCACTATGCAGCTTGGAATTCGGTAGCAATTCAATATCAGTGAGCCACATTAGCACGAATGCGAGTAAAATTTTATGTTTGAATGGCTGATTACGTATACGCAAGGGCGGTCAGAAAGCTAATTGACGATTGCGCGAAAATATAATGAGCACAACAGTGGAAATAAACCAAGAGAGAGTTATGTATTGAGAGAGATTGTGCACGGAGAAAAGAAAATCGAGCAGAGCAATAGACAGAGTTACTGCGAGAATTGGGCTGCACATGTTAGAACATGATTCCGACTCTCTGATAATCAGCTTACACATTTTAAGACCCCGTTTACATAAATAAATAAAACGGCACATTGCAATGAGAAATAAAAAGAAAACCTACATGAGTTACAAATAAAACAAATGAAAAAATACACAACAAAGCTGCCTCCAGTGAAAATTGAGATAGTGTTGAGATAATTCAGCTTTTGCCTGAAGGTGATTTTGCTGTCATTTGACATTAGAATGGAGACAGAGAGACGGCCGCCAATAGAACAAATGATATTCTGCCGAGCTTTTTTCTTATAGATGATATGTGTGTGAATTTTCATTTATAATTTGGCTCTGTCTCTTTTCTTTACATATACAAAGAGGGCCTATGCGAATTTATAATATTGACAGGCGCTCGCAGTTGTCTGTCAAAGCTTTTGGAAATATATAAATATATTTAAGATATTTCCGTGATTGATAAAAAACTTTTATAAGGTATCTCAAAGTTTTCATGGCTGAAAGATGATAAGTAATATATTATATATACAAATCCGTAGGTCAATAATCTAATCGTTTTTCCATTAAAGCAATTTAATTGACTCGAGGCTTGGGCTGAATTTATTTGTATATATACTTTCATCTATTGTATAAGATAAACGTATGATAGTTTACTGCCAGCTGTTGCTATAAGTTATATATATTTTTATATCTGTGTTTAAACTTATTTATTGACAAACTTTTATTGCTAATAAACTGCTCTTTATTATTATTATTAATTTTAATTGGAGAAGTGTGACTCCAAACAAAATAATATAACAAAAAGGCAATTATTTACACGATCTATCTTAAATTGCAACATAAAACCTACTAAAAAAGAAAAAGGTCTTGTTTGTAATGCATTTGAAGAGCATCTAAAAATGTCATATGTATTTCACACACAGATTTAATAAAACATTGTATCTGATATTATACAATACTTTATAAATATCATATTTATATTTAAGAATTTTCATTTTAATAAAAGGTATTACCTCTTCCATATTTAAAATTAAATGAACACAATGGAGAAAAGTCTTTTGAAACACTTGTAACTAAATCACTTGAACGTAGATTTTCTGCGAAACTATAGTTAAATATTCCAATTAGGCTCTAGGAATCTTTTACATTTGTTTTCCAATTGTTTGCTGCGATATCGCGTAGCTTAGCTAATTAATTGGCGAGTTTTGTTTACACCGCGCGCTCAACTGGCCAACTGTTGCCGCGAGTGCAAAGTTGTCGCTGCTGATATTGGCAATGGGCTTCTAGGCCCACTGTTAGCTATGAATTTTCCGAATGCTCTCCCTCTGCACATATAATTTTCATATATTTCATCTATAGTATATATTTCGATGGTGATATGAAATTTGTTTCGAATTTATCTATGTGAGCGCGCGATTCGCGTTTCTCTGGCCAGTTGAGTCGTGCGTTTGCGACGCCTCACTTTTCCGTTCTGAATCAAAATCTGAGGCACTGGCAAAAAGCTTTTCCCAGTAATATTTTGCCGCAGCGCCGACGTCGACGTCGACGTCGACTGCAGCGCCAACCGACTGGGGCTTACGTTTATGCATTTGTGTTTGTTAGTATTATACCCTGAACGCATTGCTTAAAACAGGGTTTAATCGGCTTGTGCCGAGTAGATCTAGCTATGTCCGGCTTTTAGCCTGTTCGTATGTATGAACTCGTCGATCTCAGGTACTTTGAGTGCTTGGGTTTTAGATTTAAGGGTGACTAGGTTATTTTAAATCATTGATAACTGCGAATCGATAGCGGCATCCTGTTTTCATAAAGTTTTATAAAGATCGGGCAACAAGCACCAAATGTCTTCAAGATCACTGACAGAGGCAGCGCAGTTATGTATTTATAGAACAACTTATATGTTTGAAAATTTTAAATTAGATTGAGGGTATCTGCTAGTCGGGCACTTCCGACTAGAGCACTTTTACTTATTATTTTTTTTGTGTTTGTGTGAATTGCTGTTATAATTTGTACTTGCATATGTGTTTGTATTAGACTGCATTTCATGGTCCACAACAACAATATGTGGAAGAGCTTTAGAATTTGTTTACTTACAGGGTGCAAAATTTCTAACACAATCAAAGCAATTGTAGCTTGTGTGTGAACACAGAGCAACAACCACCTGTGGGGCCACTGGAAACACACATTTAGCTGAAACAGGAAATCGTTGCAGTTTTGTGCCCCGGCAGCCCCATGACAAAGCTTTCCTGGGTGCAGTTTATATGCAATAAATCCAAGCAATACCAAAGCTTTGCCCCGCACAACCAACGGCTTCTAGACTGGGAAACTTCTATTTATTACTTGAAAGCTATACGCAGCTGAAATAACAGCTCAAGCATCGAGTTACCAGGCGCAGAGGCACAAACTGACAAGTACTATATTTAGAAATAGACAATATAAAAGGGCAGGCGCCAGTTGTGCTTTTATTTTAAGGGCAAGGTCGCAGTTCTCACAAGTGCTAGTGAAATATGTGTGGAAACTAGAAGGTAATTATAATAAATTATTAAGAAATTATTGCTATTTAATGGGAGCTGCATTAAGTTTGATTAGATTGCGGAGTTAGGATATCTTAAAGCACAGAAATATTATCCATATCTATGTTTGATCGATTCTTCTAATTGCGCTGTTTGATATAGTAGTCCAATGTTGATAAGATTTAACTTATATATAAGGAGAATATATACGTTTGGAGAATATAACTTGAAGAACCGAGAAGTTTTTCATTAAAGGAAATAGTTTTCACCTGTCCATTTTTATGACAGCTCTATGATATGGCACTCCCTGACTGAGAATGTGAGTTTCCATTTTCTAACAGGAGGAGTCCACTGGATACTATTTTTCAGTCATGAGAATTTATTTATTTGGAAATAAAAAAATGTGAGCTCCACAGATTAAAATTGTTTGCTAATTACACATAATTATAATAAAATCTCGAACGAAAATGTTATAATTTTCGAGCGATCACTGTATTAAATAGCTCTCGAAATAATGCGCTTTCTGTTTTTATAGTCAGTTCCAGGTTTGTTATTGTATCAATTAGCCTGCGTTGACCTTGAGCATTGACCTAATGCTAAAACGGTTTCATAAAAAACTTGTTATATATTAAAAAAAATATATATATAATTAGCTGTTGTCAGCACGTGAACCGTTGCACGATTGCAATGACTAATACCCACATTACGTATACGCCGAGTTGTCCGGCCGTGATTATTCACGTGAATGGCGCATGGCGCTGTGTTAAAAATAGCCAGAGACTAAAAAAATAACATGGATAAATATATATAAAAGAGCATAGCGCACAAATACTAGAAACACGTAAGTATCTATATTATGGTGTGCAGACGGGGCCAAATGATTGCGCTAACAATGCCTATGAACAGCGAACTGCATGCGATTCGTTATATTAACTGAACCACAATTTTGGCTGAGACACAACACAATTGGCCAATCAGAATGTCAATGTGGAATGCTCTTGCTGCGTGCGACCGCCGGCAGCTGATTGTGTCAGCTGACGGACTGCTTATTCGTGTCCCTTGTGCGCCCTGGCACGAGCCAGGACGAGCAGCAACCGAAACAGACAGATGTACAGTGGAAGCTCTCTTGCGTGGACACCATCGGTAATCATCAAATATGGTGAAATTAAAAACAAAAAGGAAAATACATTTCTAAGTATACTTTATACTTTATATATCTTATTCGCAATAGGAGCAGCTCTTGTTCCGGCCAAAATAACGTCCGTTCAATGGAGCGCACATCCGCCCAAGGGAACCGTCCATTGGCGGAGCTTTCACAGTATTTCCTTTGCCCCGTGTTAGCTCGTTTCCTTGATGGCCATTAAAACAGCAAAGGATGGGCATGTTAATAGGTTCATTTTACAGGTGGCAACCCTGGCCGGATAAGGGCTATGGCTTCAACTCTAGTGTTAACAACACACAAATACAACAGATAAGTAATTAGAGAGCTTTTAGCTGATTAAAGTGCGCTTATCAGCTTTTATCTGGCAAATGAATACTCTTCAGGCCTGTTATACATTCTGCCAGCTGGCTGAACTTTCACACATTTAGACGCAACATAAAAATTCACAATAGGGTATGCGTGTTACTATATATAAGTTGCTAACGGTTTATTTCTATATACACACGAGTGCCGCTCGTATTAAGTGAAAGCCTTAATTGACACGCACTACAAGTATTGCTCTACTTACTTCTTGACATTGGGCGATTTTCAGTTGTGGTATCCAAGTAATTGGACCCGATTCGAGCATTGGCATTATATCAGCAACCGATGCCAGCTGAGGGGCGAGGGAGAAGCAGCTGTGCCGGCGCCAAACAAAACTTAACAACAAGAATATTTATATATATATCTATGTGTAATATTTAATTTTGAACAGAACGTTGAGCTTATTTTCATATATTTTTTTATTATTGCGTTCACCCTTTAAAATGTTGTAATCAAGGGCAAAGGCCACACGGCAACAGAGATGCGAGGCGTACCCCTCCCCTTGGCCGTTAGTCGGTTAGTTCGATGCGTTCGTCTTTGATGCGTGCTGCTCTTTTATCGATTATTATTCACACCACAAACATATAAGTTACTTTTATCGTCGCGCAATGCTTTTTAATTAAATGATTTTTAGCGTCTTGCGGTTGCTGAAATCCGGGTCCTGTTCTTTGACCTGGGCATTCCGCACGAGTCGAGAAAACACGCAAAACTGTGGGCGGGAAATGTAAGCGCAAAGGGCTTTAATGACAGTAGGGAAATTTTAGCAGAGCTACCAAATAACATTGCTTAACATTCCAATTGGGATTTATTATATGAACTACTCGAACTATAAATTCATTTGAATTAAAACACGCTAGCTTAAAATAATGTACATGTTTATTGAATAAAGCAATTTAGTAAGCATACATAACACGATTACCATTGGTTGGTTTTTTTTTTTTAACAACATGTTATTCCATAGTTTTTAGCAATATTAGGTAAATATATAAATATCATTATTCAAAGATTTTGCATTAGCTGCTTTAGTAGCGGTGTATAGAGTGTATAATTCCTTGACAGACATAATAAATACATGCACACATAAAATTAGTTTTAACAAAAATATAAGCCACAATTGTAAATCACATAAATTAATTTTCATATTGCAGACCTTAAAATGCGTATAAATTGCCACGCCTGAACTAAAAGCTGAAAGAATGCTAATTTATCTGTTCTAAATGGCCTCATCGATTAATTTCTTGCAAAAATACAACTGTACATACTCGCAAAATATGTCGTTTTCTGTAGGTTTGCTACGATAGAATTGTAGATTTTTTGTAATCTCGCGGTTTATCACGTACTCCTAAAATCGTTAGTCGCTATAGTGTGTATGTTTTGCATTTGGATTGATCCAACATAAATTTCGATAATCGCAAGCGACTGCTTTTGTTGTCTCAATGAGTTTTGTCTTATAGCATTTGTTAAATTCGCTGCTTCTGCGTCCAGTGGGTTGACCAAGTACGCGGCTTCAATGTGCTATTAGCTGGTTGATTTTGGCTGCTGCTTTAGACTAAAACCTCAGCATACTATCTGCGCAGATCGATGACTTTGATCTTGGCCTGGTCATCCATTTTAATATGCTGTGCATCCATGAACAGCGGCGGATCATTGGGATGCGGATGAAAGCCGGTTTGCCGGCACTGTGCAATGTAGTCCAGGCCATAATGAGGCGTGAGTATAAAGAAACCAGTTCTAAAAATAAATCGTACAAATTGCTCACAATCTGACTCATTGGGAAAGTCACAGCAACGACTCACGTATTGTACTTGGGCGCACAGACGATGGCGATTGCCTCGGGCATCATCATCTGGTAGGAGCAGTGCGTATGCAAGTCAACGGAGGACAAAAATGCAGTTTGACTGGGATGGGTCTACCATAATGAAAAAGAAATTACAAATTAGATATATTCGTAAGCAGCTTTCCTTTCCTTGTTGCTTACATGTATCCAGCCGAGCGTAATGAGCTGCATTTGATCCTGGACATCAAAGATCTGCTCCTCGTGCATCGTGTTGCAGCTGTCCGGCGTGCCATGCTGTTGCGGCGTAATAATATGCGTAATATAGAGCTGGTTATGCGCCAGATGGCCTGCCAGCACGCCACAAGTCTCAATGTTGTTGGAGGTATTGGCACGCGCCAACTTCAAGAACACTTCCATGGTATCCCCAGGTACATTGACGGTGCGCAGCGAGCCCGCCAGCAGCGAATCAGTGCGGTTGTATTGCGGCTTACGGCTGCGATCAAAGCCGGGTTTCGAGGTCGAGCTGCAAGGCAAGCAATTAATAATTCTTGACTCGCTTGAAATTTAATCATACACTTACTTGGCTGTCCTGTCAGCGCCTGCATCAGCTACTGCGGGCAGCAGCAGACCAGAATTGGGTAAGTGGTTACGATTGGTACCCGTGGGAAAATCGTTTGGATAGACCACCTGGTCCAGTAGACCCAGGTCTGGTGCAGTTGGCTGGTTGCTCGGATCTATTTGCACATGCAGATTGGCGGGTATGAGGGAAGGAACAGTGCCCGCTGCCGCTGCTTTCTTGTTGGCCAGCTGTTGCTGGCGCTCACGTTCCTGTTCGCGCATACGCTCCGCCTCCTTGTTGGCCAAAAACTGCTCATACTCACGCTGATACTGGCCCAGCAGCTTGGTGCGCAGCTTTTCCGTTGTGGGCATGATCTCGTCTTTAATCGTCTTATTGATGGCCTTCACCTCGGTCTTAACGCTGGCATAGTCGGGATGCTGGCGTATCTTCTCTATGAAGAGCGTCATGTAGCGCATGTAGAGTATAAACGCGTTCTCATGGTTGCCCTCATTCAAATAGACGTTGGCCATGCGCAGCATCTCCGTTCCGGCGCGGTAGTAGCTGCGGGAGGCAACAATTCACTTGGCATATAATAATTGTTGTTATTGTTTTTGTTGTTGATAATGGCATGCAGCTGGGTGCCAAAAGGACTAAGATATGTATGCCACCCCACACAAGCACACAATTGCATATGCACATGAGTGCATGTGTGCAGACACACGCACACACACAGCCACAGTGTGCCAAAGGAGAATATCCTTCAAAAGGCAAATGCGCGTGCAAGGCCTTTTCTTGCGATGGGCTGTGACATTGGAGCAGGCTTACCGCTTGGCGCCACAACTGTGGAGCTTTGGAATGTCCAACTTACCGCGTGACAGGCATATTTTTGTCTACATCGATGAGATTGCCGCAGTGGGACAGGTATTTCATGCGCTCCTGCGGCTCCACAATGGCCATGTTCATGTTATTCACCGCCTTCGACATGTTTTTTCTTTCTTATTGTTTTTATTTTTCGCTGGCTTCAGTTCTGTCTTCTTCGCCTCAGCTTTTTTGTTGTCTCTGCGCTCCAGCTTAGCTTCTCAGTGTCTTTTCGCTCCAGTTTGAATTTGTAGAACAGCCCTTGCCAAGGATTTGGTTATTTTGTAACAATTGTTAACGAATTACTCATTACGCAGGTGGTGGTGGTTGTGGCGTCGCTTGAAATCTGCGAGAACAGCTGTTTGTTCAAAAAATAAAATATTCCCTTTACAGCTGCTTTAACAGCTGTTAATGGGCAATGCTATCGATATATTTTTGATTATCGATATTTCTGCAAATAAATACCCCATAGAACTGTTAACGCAATTTTGAGCTGTCGGTTTGAGATTTAAATGCATCTAATTTTAATATTAAATTATATTTTCTTATGCGCCAATCTTTTTATGGAATGTGTGTGTGTGGGTGCGCATACTGCGTTCAGGTGGGCCTTCGCACATACCATTAATCCTTATCGCGCTTAAAAATTATAGCTTAGCTAATCTTCATAAAACATGAACCAATACATAGGTAGTTATCAGTTATTATTTTTAAAGACCCCCACTTGACCAAACTTTAACAACTGTTTGCGTACTATTCCTATTTAGTTATAGAGCCTGGCTGCGACTTGTAGTGTGAGGAACTGCATAATTTTGAAAGTAAGTAGACATCGAAATAGTAACTAAGTTTTGTGGTTTAGCGCGATAATAACATATATCCTCAAATCTGTGATAAGTAATTGTTTCATAGATACGAATTTGAATTACCTTTTTAATATATACTGAGTGTAAACTTCAGGTGGCTTAAACAGCTTAATTTACCAGTAAGTTTAGCTAATCTCTTGTTACATCTGCGATAAGCTATCAAATCAGAAGAATATTGCCAACCATAATATAAGCGCGCATAGCCCCAGCTCGAGAGTGACAAAGGGCAACCGATCTCAGGCACGTTCAAGCGCCCCCACAATGGACTCGGACTGCGACTGCGACTGCGACCACGACTCAGAGTTCCAGCTCTGATAGTGCCTGCATGACCAGTTGAGTACTTGAGCACTTGACGAATGACTAAACTGAGCGCTGGACGACAATCACTGCAAAGCAAAAAAGAAAAAGAAAAAGAAAAAAAACACGAAAAACTATTCAAAAAAAATAAATAAATAAAATCCGAAACCCAAACTCAAAGCAAACAGCGCCGCGAGAGAGCGCGCTGCCATCTTTTGGTCAGCTTGTGGCCCAGTCGGCGAGCAGCAGTCGAGTGCCAACTTGGGCGCATAGCGGGCGTCATTTACAAACCACGCGACTTCGACACCGAAATTCGGTCTCAGTTTCTGTCTCAGTTTCGTTTTCTTTGGCATTGTTGTTGTTGTTGCTGTTGTTGTTGTTGGGGGGCATGGCTGGCGGGGGCAAAGTCTCTTGTGCACGCAGATAAATATCCGATCGATGCGGCGTGTTTCGAAATTAGTTTTGACTTTTGCAAGCGATTGACAAGCGATTGAAAAATTGTGTCCAACACAACATAATAAATAACGGACTTAAAATTAACAAGTGTTTTACGTGTTAGCCGTGTTAATCGCGATCATTTTGTGCCATAATTCTGGACTTAATTGAGGGGTGTGCGTGAGATAAGTTCCCAAATGAAAACAATGAGCATCCCATGAAGTGCAGATCGCTTCCAGTTTTAATTGTAAATAACAAAATATTAGTGCTGTTCGGTTATTTGTCGCATTAGTAACTTGATACGCAAGTAAATATTTATTGATGCAAAAAATTGGCTGAATATAGCCTCATCGAAGTCCAATCTAATCAGTGCCAAGGCAAAGGAGCTCATTGCATAAGCGAAATAAGTGCCGCGTTTAACCTCGAAAACTGAACAACGCGAACAATCTGCCAGATCCACAAAGCGGGGATTGAGCTAAAAAAGAAAAAAGAAACGAAAAGAAAAAAGTGTATGAAAAGGCTCATCAGCAGCAGCGCCCCTATGAACCGAAATCTTCTGTAATTCGCTCAATTGGATGCCAGCGGCGACGCTGACGCAGCGTGTATCCAAGAGATACATTTGAATCTTTTGTAAGTAATGCGCACAATGGCCAGCGCCAGCACAATACGTAAACTGAAATTGGCCGAATTAAAATCAGATAAAAACCAATTACAATTCGGATTAAAGCGGAATCCAATGTTCGTTGAGACAATAATAGACAACAAGAAGTGCAGCCAAATGCAAAACATTTTTAACTACACAACCAAAACTGCGGGCAAACATTAAAATGTTATAAATAAATATACATACATATACCAGCTGAACTTATGTATATGCATAAAAAGAATAGTAATTTCATGAATTACAAGCTTGAACTTGTATCTGTGCATCTGCCGAATGGCCCTGCAGCAGGTATCGTTGGCTGTGCTTTTGGTATGCCCTTGTACAGGGTATTCCAATTTTGTCACGCAATATGTAACATGTAAAAGAAGACTCCTGAGAGCTCATTAAGTATATATAAATTTGAACAATAGCAACAGGTATGTCTGTTTGAATTTCGATTTTGCATAGGTTCGTCTAGCAGATCGGACCTCTATATCATATAGCTGCCATTTGCTCGATCGGTTAAATATTATGTTTTATGTTTTTCCTTGGCAAGATATCGTGGTTATATGCATATGAGCACAATCGGGGCAATATCCGACTAATATTTAATATAGCTCTATTCGATTTTTGAAAGAAAGATTTCTTTGTACTCTGCATTTACGAGCTTCACTTTACTATTAACAATCTCCAAAGCGGTATTAAATGTTTGTATATATCCCAATAGCCTTCTAAGCCTACACAAGGGTATTTCAACTTCGTTCCTGTTTTCTTGTTTAAATTTTTTATTACTGCTTTGTCGCTTTGGCCGCTGTTTGGGTCTTTTCGGCTTTTGTGGCCAGGCCAGCGGCATATGAGTGTGCATTATTTAATTTTCGTTTTCAATGTCAGCCTGTCGACTGAATTATGCAAAGCGCGCGACAATCTCGATTGGGCCTGGGCAGAGGGCGGCAGGGGCATGGCGTGGCATACAAAACAATTACTCACTCGATTTTCTATTTAGCGCCTGCTAAACTAAAGTTCTTTTGTATAGAACGTGGCCCGCATACGCTAGTTAAATGTACTCGTTTATAGATACATTTTACATACACAAAAGATACAATATCTGTACAAATATGTGTACAAAAGGCGCGTAAAAACCCAACTGCTTTTGATTTCTGCAGTGACGCAGCAGTAAAATGACTACTGGCCAGTGGCCAGTAGCAGTAGCCAGCAGCAGTAGCTACAGCAGCAGAAGGCTGCAAATTTCGCAAGCTGATAAAAAAAAACTGGTTTCAGTAGCGAGTCGCAGTCGTTGTTGTTGTTTATTATTTCCAGCTGATAAGAGCGCAGCGCAGCAGCAGCAACAACAAAGAGAGTTGTTGTTGTCCTGGTTGTTGTTGCTTTTGATGTACATATATATTTTATTCATGGGATGCAACTGCTGGAGGCCACTGCGATTACAGACACCGCAATAAATTAGCATTTATCGTTGGCAGACACGACCGCATTGTCCATATAAATATATATACATATAGTATATCTATCAATTATATCTATTGATGGGCTGTCTGGCCTCAAGAGTTCCCTAGGCTTTTGATTATATTGCCCAACAATTTGTCACTGTTTGCAAAATACTTAAGTACTGTTAATTGATTGACAACAAAATTGGCAAATTTCTGTTCTGTGTGATACGCTTTTTACTTAAATGTTGCCAATCGATATGGTTAAATAATAATAATCTAATCGCTCCTGTGCAAATATGAATCAGTTAATCAGTTACTTAACGATATTTACGTATTTAACTAAAGCTACATATACTTTAGCTAATATTCATAATTTCTCATTTCTCAAATTAATACATCTTTTTTAATTGAAACTTCAGTCGAAAACAATTAGCTTTTACGTGTAGGCATTAACAGATATTCCTACGGGACAATAACATTGAGCTGTTAACATAGCATTAACATAAAAGTGTTTAAAAGCCAATTTGGGCGATGTATTATTAATTTCATTGTTAAAAATGAACTAGTTTTTGCTCATATTATTATAATTATCATTCTTATTATTATTGTTATTATTATTATTATTAATATTATTATTATTATTATTATTATTATTATTATTATTATTATTATTATTATTATTATTATTATTATTATTATTATTATTAATATTATTATTAATATTATTATTATTATTATTACTATTATTATTATTTTTATTATTATTATTATTATTAATATTATTATTATTATTATTACTATTAATTTTATTTTTATTATTATTATTTATTTTATCATTTCCACCGCATATTCCACCGGCAAGTGTGAAAGATTAACGAAAAACTGATGTGAAACTGATCATTTTCTTAAGAATATTCTAAAGATATTTATGAAAATTCACTTGAGACGTGTTTCACATGTTTTGGAAAATTCACTCCTCCTGGGTAGAAAATGTTGGTCAAAGTTTGTATAAAGCGAAGTTAGACTCTCAGTTTCTTACTCAATCTTAAAGCATCGATACTGGGTGATTACACCCTTGTGTTTTTCATCCTTCGACTTGAGCTCAGTTTATAATATCTATGTCAAATTTCCCTGAGATGTGGGGTCAAGGTGATGTGCAGGAAGATTTAAGTTTTTCACCGGTGGGAAATGGGTGGAAATGTAATACTGCTAATTAATTAATTAATTGAGTTAAGTTTTCCTTTTTTTCTGACAGGATATTTTTTGCGCAATTCCGACCGAGTTGACCACAAGAATGGCTAATTGCAAATTAAGCCTAATCACGCTGTTCGCGTTATGCGGACTCATCAGCCTGGCCAGTGCCTATAAGGTGGGCGTGGGACGTGCGGACATAACGGGGCCGCCAGTGGAAATTAATTTCGTAAGTCTTTGACAGCTACTTGACAAGCACTCTCGTTTACCTAAACTGCTTCGATACCCTGCATTTTACAGATGGGCTATGCGAACATCAAGCAGGTTGGCCGTGGTCTGCACACGCGCACCTTTGCACGCGCCTTCGTCGTGGAGGACGAGAAGGGCAACCGCGTGGCCTTCATCAGCGCCGACTGCGGCATGATGGGCTATGGCCTCAAGCGGGAGGTGGTTAAGCGCCTGCAGGCGCGCTATGGCAACATATACAACACTGAGAATGTGGC